GAGAGAGAGAGATGGGGGCTTGGAAAGTGGGCTGCCCACCTGCTTCTCAAGGGTGTTTTATTGAGCAATGCCACAAGGTGAGGTGGGTTGAAGGGGGGACAGAATTATAACCACTCAATAAAGAGCTTTAATCTACTAATTCCAAGAAGTGTCTCTCTCTCTCCCTTTCTAACTTTCCTTCCCTGCATCCTCCCGTCCCCCTCCCTTCTTTTCTTTGGGTTTAGACAAGTGTCTCACTACATATTCTAGGTTGGTCTCAAACTCACAATCCTCCTGCCATGGCCTCCCACGTGCTGGGATTACAGGCTTAGCTCCCAGAGAGTGTTAAGCCATCACATGGAAGTGAAAGTTAAGGCCTTTTCTGCTGGCTTTTCCTTCCCTCTTTCCCTCTCCCTTTGGCTCTTGGCTAGTAAAGTGGAAGAGGAGAAAGACTATGTACATTAGAGATGACAATGCTCCTCTCCAGGGCAAGCAGTCTCCAGATGGGAGTGGGAAAAGCTTCATGCTGTCACTTAATGACCACAGGACCTTCTACTCCAAGGGTGACCACAGAACTCATGCAACCTGTCTGAGATTTAATTAGATGCATGAAGGATGTGCTTCCACCATACTGATTTAAAGGAATGACAAAAGATAAAGGTTTTTAAAAAACTATACCCCATGAGGCTGGGTGTGGTGGCACACTCCTGTGATCACAGCATTCAGGACACTGAGGCAGGAGGACTGCCCCGAGTTTGAGGCAGCCTGGGCTACAATAGTGAGTTCAAGATCAGCCTGAACTACTAGATCCTGTCTCAAAAAAAAAAAAAAGACAGAAAGAAAAAGAAAGAAAATAATATATCTTCAAGTAATGTGTTAAGTTTTAGAGGGGAAAATGGTGACTAATAAAAAAAATTTTGAGATGGGGGGCTCACTGTGTACCTTCAGGCTGGTCTTGAACTTGGGATGATTCTCCTGCCTCAGCTCTCTCTGCCTCCCAGCATGCTGGGATTATGAGTGTGTGCCACTAAACCTGGGTCAGTTTGTGTTTTGAGAACCCGTATTTTGGACTAGGGAACATAAAGGCAAGGGAATCCCTGCCCGTGGGAGCGTCTGTCTTGGGTTATGCACTTGGCTATGATTAAGCTTTTGAAAAAGTCACACTGTTCCTGTTCTCCAAGCATGGAATCACAGTAAAGCTTCTATTTCAGATGTTTAGCTTGGCCTGGTGGTACATGCCTGTAATCCCAAGATGGCTGCGAATTCAAGGCAAGCCTGGGCTACAGAGTGAGTTCAAGGTCAGCCTGAACAGTACAATGAGTCTATCTCAAAAAAAAAAAAAGTGCTGTGAATTTAATTGACAAAGACGGTATAGCTAGTATAACTAGTCCCATTCATATCTTGGACACATCCCTGGCCCTGGTAATGTTTTTGTTTTTCTTTTTTGGTACTGGGGATTGACCCCAGTATGTGTTAAGATGGCCTCAAGACCTTTTCATACTTTAAGACAGGATCTTGCTAAGTGCCTAGGCTGGCCTCTAACTGGTGATCTTTCTGCTTCAGCCTCAGGAGTAGCTGTGGTTACAGGTGTGCACCACTGACTCAGATAATTGCTTCTTACTGTATATCCAATTACATGGGAGAACCCTGCAGGATGAGAAGACTTGTTGAGTTTGGAATCAGTATGGGTCTTTGTATGTTCACACAAGATATACAGAAATTAAGTGTGCTACGATATATACTCCTTGAAGGCAGGGATCTTATTATCTCATATATTCTAAGAGCCAGAACACAGTAAGCACTCAGTAAGTAATCTACTGAATGAGTGAATACAAATTGAGATTTGAGTGTGTGTGTGCTGCTGAGGAGCAAACCCAGCAAGTGCTCTACCACTGAGCTACATCCCCAGCCTGGAATTTGAAACTGTAATTGCCTTAGTACAAGTTGGTCCTGCTCATTAGGATCAGTTACCTCTCTCCTGGACTGAGTGGGAGCCCCACAACGTGCTCTTATTCAGATTCTGCTGGTTCTATACACACTGTGGGCCCCGCCCTTCAGTTATGACAGCATCAACTGGGCATGTGACACTTAAGTTACAGATGATTTATTTTAGTTTCTCTGACAAAATCTGGGAGCCACCTTGGTCTCTGTGGCACATTTACAGATCATCTCACTGGGTGACTTTTTAGTTTTATAAATCTTGTCCCGACTTCTATGAGGTTTTGTTTGACATTTTCCAGGTGACTGACTTCCAGCTCAGGCAGGTAGGACACAACCAAATCGTGGTGGTTCGTATCTTTGCGGACACCCAGAGTTCTCTGTGCAGGTGCGGATCTCTGTGCCCTCAAGGACTCCAAAGGGCGAGCACTGCTGTCCGCAGCGGGAGATCTCCACGCCGGTGCAGACCAGAGGGAGCTGGCTGCTACCACTGCCACCGCTGTGAGCGCGGGGGGTGGGAGGGAGCCCGGGCGGCGGCGCAGGCTCCTCCATTCGGAGCGCGCATTAGCAGAGAACGCCTGAGGACGTGCACACGTCCGGGCCTCTGGCACGAGAGCTCTGGATTGCCCCAAAGTCTGGGCGGGGGCCCGCGGGGGAGGCGAGGGTGGGGTGCGCGAGGCGCAGGGGCGCCCCGGCAGCCCTCCCTCCAACCTGCAAAAGGGCCCGGCCTCACCGCCGACCCGGCGGCCTCCTGATGAGGTCCCTGAGCCGCACCCAGACGAGGGCACCTGCGCGCCGGCCCGCTCAGTCT